ATAAAGTTTCTGTCCTTCAAGAAATAATTATACGACAACTTGTCCTGACGAGACAATGTGTTATAATTATTGATGGATAATGGACTGGGAATCGAACATTTGGTCCCGAGGTTTCAACCGTAATTATTATAACGGTATGTCTATTTCAAACTTGTATAAATTACAGCTATTACATAGTGTCATTTGATAGTAATTCTTTTATTCTTTTGTTTTTTTTAATATTGTTGTCTCTCTTAATATTTTGTCAATCATTTCCTTGGTATACATATAGGTACTTGGAAACTGTATATTACATAGACGTTTAAAACTGACTACACGTTAAAATGCAAGGAGTTTGATGCAATAGTTACTACTGTACCATTTACTTTATTTATTTTTAGCCATGATCGTCTCACTGCAGGGCAAAGGCCTCCCTACCCTTCTTCCACTCCTCTCTGTATAAAGGTTTTTTGTACTCCCTCCCGCTTCACCCAGGTTGGATAAGTCATTTGATGATGACACCATTAAAAAAATTAATGTAAAGTTTTTGCTGCCAATCCTTATCATAGATGTCCAATTCGTCCCACCATCTCGTTTTGGGCCTTGAATATTAGGCACCACTATAATGCATGTATAAATATTAAACCAGTTACATAGGGTTTTCTAGTTCAATTGTAACTAAGGGCTCGCATCGCAAGATCTTGCGAATTGATTCATTCATCAAATCAAAATTTTATCTTCCCAAAATGTTCTTTGTTTCTTTTTCCTGTATCTCCTAAGCAATAACAGAAGTACACACTTCTTTTTACGATCCATGTCACGACCTAGTTTTTAATTTAAAATACGTTTAGTACTGTTGACGGTCGCCGAAGGAATGGTGACTCTGGGAGATGCGTTGTCGCACGAAATCGCATCGCAGTAATTCGTATCGTAATTTTTTGCATCGCATCGCTGTTTTATGTACGAACCCTAAACGGCAAATTCTTATTAAATATCGTTACACTTGAATTATTATCATCATGTCCTTTAAAACATAATCACTTGCATAACCAGACCTTTCTACATGTATCACATCGTATTAACAACAGGTTCACTTGAAAAGTAAGCCGGATTTTATCCCGATAGTACACAGCTACACATAAAACTATCCACAACCATTATAACCTAACCGTCAAATATGCGGGAAGATCATAGAAACAGAGACCATGATATAGTGGTAGTGTATGGCTTGATAGTACCAGGGAAGGTGACAGTACAGGAGTTAATTAAAACGGTCGCGTTGCACGGTTGACACGCGACGCGGTATGCTGTAGCGTTGCTAGGCAACAGAGCGCTTTGAAGTACACGCTACCAGGATCACTCTCACGCTATAGAACCTCTGAGGTATTTCGCGTGTTCAATTTAATGGTGCTTCATTGGTTGGTTACTGGTGTAACTACAGAGTAATATAAGTTTAGGTTCTTGGGTCGATCGAAGTGTTATTTAATTTTCATAATTTTCTGTAGTACGGTCTAGTACTGGACTGGAGTTCAGTTTATAAACTACGACACAGCTAAGTCACTCCACGTAAATGATAATAGCGCAGCTTATATTTCAGTTAAAATTAAACTAGCAAACAATTTGTGTTAATAAACATACAAGTTCACATACATAATATATGACACATCGAACCCGCTACAAGTTGCGCGACAATCGGTTACCACGCCCGTCGTAGAAATACGGTAGATGACAACTAGTCAAATTCAATACTTTTATGGAAACGTCAAAAACGATTCTGTTCTATGTATTTTGTACGGAATGCCAACTCATAACGTCATCATATTTTCGCGTCAAATAGCATACTTAAATATCTAAAAAAATGTTACAATAAATCGAAAATTAGTATATCGGCAAATCAATAAATGAAAATGTAACTATTTTTCAATATTTAATTGGACTGAAAAATCAAAATAATTTATTTTTAACCCAGGAAACTACCCAATTGTCGGCCCTGAGCACGGGCTCAGAAATTGTCGGCACGGTAAATATGGGCACTCGGGAGTGGCCCATATTTAAGACGGTAGGTACTACTTATTACTTAGTCTTACTTTTTTGTGCAATAAAGGCTTGAGGGAAATTGATGAAATAGGTCGTCAAGTGCTAAAGACATCTGCATCAAGGAAGACGTGATTATGTTCAAAAGCGTTGAGATCAAAGGAATTTAAGGCCTTTTGAATTTGTTTCTATTTGACTTCGTTCAATTCAAAGTGTTAACGGGAATTAACAATGATTTTCTAAGGATTGCGAGTGAGATAGAGTATTATGTTTGAGTATCCGATTACAGAGTAAAGGGCTTTCTGAGCAAAGCATATTGAATTTTTAATACAGTAGGTACTAGATTATATTAACGCTGATTTGCTTATATTTTCTTCTAAATCATGCATGGATTTCCAAACTACATCACACCCAATGGTGTCAGAACTACATGTGTGTGTTGTACTGTTTATGCTAATTGAAAGCTTATTGCTGTCAATGTATTGTACTGTAATATAAATAAATTATAATGTTTTTTTTTTGTTTCGGCTTACTCCCGTAATTATTTGGCGAGGAACTTGACTGGTTTCGTGTATATCAAATAGTCTCATGAATATGAGTCTCTAGTATGGCTTGAAACTAGTCGATGTCGTCGTCAAATAATTACGTAAGTTAGCTGAAAAACATTTTGAATTTAGTATGTCTCACGACAGTTGTAATATAAATAATTATACTGTGCATATTATATTCCTCTTAACATAATACCTTTTACCTCCATTACCAAGAAAGGACCATCATCCTGAGCCCCTTTCCTAATGTATGTCTTTAATGCGACCTAATTTTCAATAGGGAACGTCTTAACAAAACACATAGTGTAGCCGATCGACGCTCGCAATTCATACATTATGCATTGACGAGTGGCCACCGTTTCCACGGCACCTGGGATTGGGTACACCTGCAAACGAGCAATGTACGTCGAAATTTGAGAATTTCCCATCGGTGATTCGATAGATGGGTTGTAAAATTACTTGTGCTTGCCTAGGTGAGGTTCAAGAAAAGTATGTCTTGTGGTAAAGAAAAGAATTTGTGGTTTTGATCACTTTTGAGTAACATTAAGAATGACAATTATTAAACAAACAGTTTACTGTTTGGTGTCATACTTACTTGATAAGTTACCCCAAAGAATAAAAAGTGTTTTAAGTTAATTCACTTATATATCACGTTAAGTGTCATCTACTTCAGCTTGTTTAACTCGTCGAGTACCGGTTTTGTAGACACAATTATAGAACAATAGGTTGCGGTCACCGGTGACCGCTTGGTGTTTGACAGTTTAAATTTAGGAGAAATTAATAAAAACCATCATAATAATTTCGAAATTTGAATCCAAGTCATGACATAACATCACGCCTTTTATCCCCGAAGGGGTAGGCAGAGGTGCACACAGAAGTAACACCCACTTTTCACTATTTTATGTTATGCGTCCCATATAATAGGGGGTGATCCTATTGCCATATACCGGGCACATATTTCCAGACTCCGTGCTACTACTGAGATTTTTTTACAAAACCCAGTAATACTTTGCCCGGGCCGGGAATCGAACCTGAGACCCCTTGTCTGGCAGTCGCAACGAGGCAGTAACTTTTTGCTATAAAATTAAACTGTCAAACACCAAGCGGTCACCGGTGACCGCAACCTAATGTTCTATAATTGTGTCTATAATGACGGTACTCGACGAGTTAATTATAGATCCAATTAGCTTATAACGGTGTGAATTTGGCAACAGCATTTCCAACACAAAAACCCATGTATTATTGTTTTATTCTATTTTCGCTTAAATTCTACGTTTTCTGGTTAAGTATTAACATTGTTAAACCTCTTTCTATAATAGTGTTAGGTATGTAGGTAGGTGTGCGTGTGCCGACGCACCAATAAGTGCCAACAATAAACGTCAGTGCGTTACTAGCAAGCAGTGGTTTCACTTGTGTCCCCGTATCTAACAAATAGAGTCACATAATCTGGATTTGTTAAATCGTGCGAAGGTTTAGTCATTAAAGTACGGTATCAGATATCAAGTTTGATTATAACTTTGTAATTTTGTGTACTTTGTGGGGTTAATGTACCCCTAAAATACATTTCTACACTTTTGTATTTATAGTCAATGTTTTTTGTATAACTTTTTATTTCTATATAATGCTAGCTGTTGCAAGCGATTTTCGCGTAGAATAATTATGAATTTTGAACATATATTTTTTTTGTATCAATTTTCCAAAATGAATGTTACTAAGCCTATGTTACTCCTTAGTACATCAGCTACCTGCCTACAAGAATTGCAAAATCGGTCTTGCCATTCCAGAGATTAGCCAGTATAAACAGACAAATATTCACTCACTCAAATTCAATCACTCACAAACATTCATTCACCACGCTTGCTCAATACGGGATGGCCATTTCAAACTTATAATTGGAAATTATAAGCCCAGGTTTCCACGCGATGTTTCTTTCACCATTTATCAGTGGTGTCTAACTAATCTTAACAAGTACATATAAATGTTAAAAGTCACAGTACTTGCCGTTGGTAGGTTTCGAACCCGCACTTTCATGCATTAGAAGCGGGCGTTTTAAACCTCCGGGCCACCACGACATAAGCATAAGTAAGTCTGACTTTTACTTTGAACTTAATTGATTTCCCACAAAAATGTGCAGTTGACCAATTTGAAAGCTGACTCACCGTAATGTAGTTTACACATAGTTTTGCGTACAAATTCAAAATTCTTCATTTACTACTGTACTAACAAGTTTGCTACATAACTATAAAAAAATTGGTGCATTATTTTATTTTCATAGAAATTACTCTTAAGTGTTCACTATACGTACCAAAAACCAAAACGAAGAAAAAAAAAGTATTTATTTGACAATAGGCATGCACACAGATACAAAAAAGAAAAGAAAAAACAAAACAATAATAATTAATTAAAAATACATTTCACATAACATATACATGTAATGAAATGACATTTCATTAATTTGAATTTGCCGCGCTTCGCGCTTGTTCGTGGTTTTATAGGTTATCTGTGGAAACCATTATAACAATCTGAAAATAGCTTGTAGTTTTCTAGAGGATAATTTAACATTAAAAATAATAAACGAGGAGGCGATAGTAAACTTTAAATGTCGTTTCTTTGTATTTTCAGGTGAGATTTAAGAATAATTGTCATAGTTAAATGATAAGTTGCAATATTGTAAACGTTTATTAATTAAAACAATAACTTTGTATTTTCAGAGAAACAATTTGTGGTTTATTTTGAAAATCCTCAATAATATATCTTATAAAACGACATTTTCGTTTACGAAAGAAGATGGACCGGTTACAATTTGAGTTTACGATGATAGCTTCAAATGATGGCAAATCTAATACATTAGCCATAACCTCAATATCTACAGAAGAAGGAAAATGTTATGTTTTACCTGATGAACTGAAGCCGGTAATTCATCATAAATACATTATTAAATTGAACACTTTCTCAAAAATAAAAAATAGCATAAAAAAAAGATATCAAACTAGAAAAATCTGGATAAAACTGGATGAAGATTTGAAGAAAACATATGTAGACGAGGAAGGTAATATGCAATTTTTAGATCAATACTTAGAAGAAATGAGCACAAAACAAGCAAGGGACCATGATGACAGTTTGCATCAGATCTTAGAAAAACTAATTGAATCTACATCTAAGAAAGAAACCCAACATAATCTAAAACATGTTTCTGAGAAATTTATTATTGAAAAATTCACAAGCAAGAATCCTAATGCAGTGCAGTGGATAGAGAATTTTGAAAAAGAGTGTGAACGCTTTAATTTAACAAAAGATGAAACAAGAATAGATATTTTGAGGTTATTTTTAGAAAAATCTTGTTTGGACTGGTACAGCTCAATGGTCATCAAACTAACAGTAAATTCTGAATGGAGTGAATGGAAAGATAAATTTTTAGAAACTTTTCAAAACCGAGGATGGGACATGGTCACAACTGCATTCGCATTCAAATATAAAGAAGGACTGTTAATTGATTATGCTACTAAAAAAGAACGGCTCCTACTAGATGTCAATAGATCAATGGATCCCAAAACAATGACAGATCTTATTGCAACAGGTTTACCTGGGTTTATCTTAAACAAGTTGAACAGAGACGAACTCAACAACACTACTGCTTTGTTCAATGAGATAAGAAAATATGAAGGTATGATGTTCAAAAGAAACTCAACGTTAGTAAAGAATAGTACATTTCCTTATAAAAATAAAACTAACGAGAAGAAGCCATGCAAGACGTGTGAGTCTCTGGAGAAAGGAATTAGATATCATCCGGAAGAATCATGTTGGTTCAAGAAAAATAAAAATGAATCTGAAAAGGTCATTAAAGTTAAAAATGTTAATAATAATTCCATTATTGAAGTAGATATGAATACGGAGAAAAAAAACGAGTAAGCACACCATTAATCAAAGTTAAGCTTTTATTAGAAAATAAATTAGAAGTGAGCGGCATTTATGATTCAGGCTCACAGATCTCTTTAATAAATTCAAGACTGATTAAAGTCAAAGAAAAAAAAGACAATGTGAATATTGTTTATATAAAAACGGTTAATGGTGTGAAGAAGACAGATGGCTTGATAACAATAAAAATAAAAATATTTGATTTAGAAAAAGAGGTGGATGTATACATAATAGAAAACGAACATTTTGATGATTTTATAATTGGATTAGACTTGATAAGGAAATTCGGATTAGTTCAAAATGAGAACTAAAAGATAGAACAAAAGAAAACAATCAATAAAATAGACAGTATGTCTAAAGATAACAGAAATGAAGATGAGAATATAAAAACATATGCAATAAATTTCAATGAACACATGGAAACAGAGGAATTCATTAGTAAGACTGAGCATTTAGATAATGAAAAGAAAATTCAGATAGAAGACATTATAAAGGAATATAAAACAATTTTTGCTAAGGACAAGTATGATATAGGATCAGTTAAAGATTATGAAGCCCACATAGATTTACTAGTAAATCGATACTGTAGTAGAAGACCATACAGATGCACAATAGAAGATAAATTAGAAATTGAAGAGCAAATATCCATGTTACTTAAGAATAATTTAATCGAAGAATCTTACAGTCCTTTTGCTGCTCCAGTTACATTGGCATTTAAAAAAGGTGAAAATAGGAAATCCCGCCTGTGTATAGATTTCAGAGAACTAAATAAAATTGTTGTGCCACAAGCTCAACCTTTTCCACTGATAGATGATCTGATTATTAAAACTAGAAACTGTAGGTATTTTACTACACTAGATATCAACTCGGCATTTTGGGCCATACCACTACGGGTAGAAGATAGAAGCAAAACAGGATTTGTCACACAGGATGGGCACTTTCAGTGGACCTGTCTTCCCTTTGGTCTCAAAACATCACCAGGTATCTTCCAAAGAATTTTAAGTAATATTCTAAGAAAGCACAATCTCACAGGATACTCCGTAAACTACATTGATGATATTTTGATATATTCATCCACGTTTGAGGAACATATAAGACACATAAAAAATGTATTAGATGCTATAATAAAAGAAGGCTTTAGATTGAAGTTTAAGAAATGTACCTTTGCTTCAGACTCGGTAAAGTATCTTGGCCATGTAATTCAGAACAATTCCGTAAGACCACTGAAAGACAATTTGATCTCAATAAGACATTTTCCAACTCCGAAGTCCCAAAAGAATATCAGGCAATTTTTGGGAAAAATCAACTTTTACCACGAATACATACCAAGAAGCGCAATTATCTTAGATCCATTGCATAAATTATTAAGAAAAAACGAAAAGTTTGTATGGTCAGAAAAATGTGAAGAATCATTTAATCAAATAAAAAGATATTTATGTTCACAACCAGTTTTGGAAATATATGACAAAGACCTACCAATAAAAATCTTTACAGATGCGTCCTTAGAGGGTATCGGGGCAATATTGAAACAAACACAACTAGACGGTAAAGACAAACCAGTGGCATATTTCTCCAAAAAACTAAATGAATCTCAAAAACGGAAAAAAGCTATATACTTAGAATGTTTGGCTATGAAAGAAGCTGTTAAATACTGGCAACACTGGCTCATTGGAAAACAATTTACTATTTACTCAGATCACAAACCCCTAGAGAACATGAACATCAAATGCAGAACAGACGAAGAACTGGGTGATCTCACATACTACTTGTCTCAATATGATTTTATCGTGAAATATATTCCTGGTAAAGAAAATATAGAAGCAGACTGTTTGAGCCGAAATCCTGTATTGGAATCCGAAGATAACAAAGAGGAACTATTAAAAATAGTTAATTTAATACAAATAAAGGAAATAGTTGAAGACCAAGAGAAAAATGACACAATAAAAGAAAAAAGAAATATAATACATAAGAATAGAATCTATTATAAAAAAACAAAGAATCATGAAAAGATTATTCTCTCAGAAGAATTTAGTAAAAAGCTCTTACAAAAGGTTCATGAAGATTTATGTCATATCGGGATCAGACAATTACAGAAAAAAATAAGTCCAATATATACAGCTAAAAACCTAACAAAGAACATCATAATTACTTGTAAAACTTGTGAAATATGCATGAAAAATAAGTCAAGATGCCAAGGAAAATATGGATTAATGTCGCAACTGGGACCAGCAACAAAACCATTTGAGATAATGTCAATGGATACTATCGGTGGCTTTGGAGGATCTAGATCAACAAAAAAATACCTACACCTTTTAGTTGACCACTTCACAAGATATGCGTTTATTTCGACTTCGAAAACACAGAATGCAAGTGACTTTATAAAACTAACAAATAATGTACTAGAGACAGATGAGATTGGAATAATCCTAACAGATCAATATCCAGGTATCAATTCAAGAGAATTTAAGAAACATTTGCAAGATAACAATATTAAACTAATTTTTACAGCTGTAAATACACCATTCTCTAACGGCTTGAATGAAAGATTAAATCAAACAATAGTCAATAAAATTCGATGTAAAATAAATCAGAAAAATAATAATAGAGCCTGGACAACAGTAGCAAGAGAATGTGTTCAGAAATATAATGAAACAGATCACTCCGTTACAGGCTTTGCACCAAGATATTTACTGGATGGTACGAATGTAAGCACTCTACCAAATGAATTAAAAACAACGGAAAGGGAAGACAAGTGGATGGCTGATAAAACATTGGCATTAGAGAATACAATAAAATCCCACGAGTATAATAAGAAGATATTTGATAGAAACAGAAAAATTCAAGAGTTTAACATAGGAGACCGTGTATATGTAGAAAACGGAAATAAGCTAAATAGAAATAAATTAGACGAATTAAAAATAGGCCCATTCAAGATTATAGAGAAAATATCCAACTCCATTTACAGGATTGACACTGGCAACAGAAAAACAGAATCAACTTTATTCCACATAACAAAATTACAACCAGTCCCAACAGAAGCTGAAGAAAATGAATAAGAAGAAAATTATTAGATAGTGTTTAGATGCATATATTATTTGGGATTTTCCCTCTTAGGGGGGGAGATGTAATGAAATGACATTTCATTAATTTGAATTTGCCGCGCTTCGCGCTTGTTCGTGGTTTTATAGGTTATCTGTGGAAACCATTATAACAATCTGAAAATAGCTTGTAGTTTTCTAGAGGATAATTTAACATTAAAAATAATAAACGAGGAGGCGATAGTAAACTTTAAATGTCGTTTCTTTGTATTTTCAGGTGAGATTTAAGAATAATTGTCATAGTTAAATGATAAGTTGCAATATTGTAAACGTTTATTAATTAAAACAATAACTTTGTATTTTCAGAGAAACAATTTGTGGTTTATTTTGAAAATCCTCAATAATATATCTTATATACATAATATTGTTATACGTATACAACATAAATAATGATTATAATTAATTTAACCGATATTGTATGACTGATGCGATGTGAACGCGAAATTAAAACATATTATTTAATTCGTATTGACACTGGCCGTCAACAAATATACGCTTTGTAATTAATAATGTAGCTATTTAAATATTAATAATGAACTGCCACTCACAGATCGGTTTGATAAAAATTTAAAAAAGGAAACTGGGATTGTTTTAATTAAATATTATGTTTGATTTATCTGAAAAATTACTCTATACGCTTTATAATTTTTAATCTTTGCCTTCCATTGACCTTATTTGTAAGCAAATATTTAAGCGAATACAAAATTATATATTAAAATAAAATTAGCGCCAATATCTGTGATTGAATCCAATATCGTCATCATGTCTGTTGATACATCTATCTATTTCTACATGGGCTTCTCTAATCTCAATTATCCACTGACCTCTATCTTTATCTGTTCGCACGCAATGTATGAACATCATCATACATCAACAACCTATAAATGCCCACTGCTGAGAAAAGCCTATTCTCACACGGAGAAGGTTTGAGCATTAATCACCATGCCAACTCATTGCGGGTTGGCGATTTCAAACTTATAATTAGAAATTAAAAGTCCAGGTTTCTTCACGATGTTTTCCTTCACCGTTTATCAGTGATGTCTAAATAATCTTAGAAAGTACATTTATAACTCGGAAAAAGTCACATTGGTACTTGTCGTTGTTAGGTTTCGAACATCATGCACCCCCACCATCATGCATGAAAAGCGAGCGTCTTAACCTCTGGGTCACAGCAACATATGATATAATTATATCGACATATGAACCAATATCTTTCATTTAAACAATGTTAATAGAGAACAAACATTTCGGGCACCTACATACACCAACAAAGTCACGAGACATCGTTAATCAATTAACCAAAGAGAATTTAATAAAATAATATCGATACTGCTACTCGATGCTAATGATATTAGATAATTAGGGATCGAGGGTTGGCCCGTTCGTGATGGGGCTTTTAGGATTTTACACAACAGTGACAACCCTTGATTGGGACACTTGAAACTGACATGGATCTAACTGATTAGATAGCTACAAAGGGTATCTTTGTGATGTTAAAAGGTAATTTGAAATTAGAAGTGTTTGGCTATGTAAAGGGATATATTGGATAACATTGTATGTATCTGAGACCGAGTGTACTTACTCATGTCAACTGTTTATTAGTCAAGTGACAATAACTAAATTTTGTGCCAGTAATGAAAACTTATATTGACAAATTGTAACAAATAAAATGTAGGTGCTCTGTTTAACCTACTTATCGAACGTTCGACTCCTACATCTATCCTACAGATAAGACGTCCAATCCAGAATGATCGATAAATCCCCCAAGATTACAAATGACGCTTTAGGTAATTAGTCTAGGTGTACCTCGCAACACTTGTTTCCAAATCCTCAAATATTAAATTCAGCTAACATTTGCAACCTCTAAGAAAGGAAAGCGACTATAAAAGATTCAGAGCCTTGAATCACCAAAATAAAGTAACGTATGAAATAGTTAAGATCCTTGTGTCCCCGAAATGATAAACAAATTAAAAAAGGCTCGTCATTACTGTCCGTCGTTGATCCCGGATAATGATCGAATTCGATGAAAGCATCGAACAGAAGTAAAACATTAAAACATATTTTACACATTCATGATGCAACTCCCAATAAATATTGATAAAATTGAAAAGGCTGGCTGAATGCACCATTGAATTTTTCGTAGAAAATCTACGTGAATATACTGAGTAGATGCTGTGAATGAATCCTTTATATCAACAGACGAACGCTACGGATTTTATTGTATGAATTTATGCGATTTTTTTTTTGTTTCGAAACTATTTTTATGAACTTTAGATTCATTTCGTTTCGTAGTGCATGTTACTGTTGTTTAAAAAGGGTTTAAGAAATGCAGGTGTTTGTTTTGTTCATGGTTTGTGATTTTGTCTGGTTTTTTTTACTATAATAATAATAATAATAAACGTTTATTAGCACTTCATAGAATTAACACAGTGAAGCCCTGGCTCTTGTACTAGGTATCCCTGTATCACAAGAGCCAGGTCTCTCAATATACATGGAATGATAGCACCACGTGAGACTTGACAATTAATAATGACTTACATATAATACGAGTAAATTCAAAGTTAGATAAAAGTATAAACAAAACCAGAATAACTATAAACGAGAAATAAAAAGATAAACAATAATTAAAACTGACACTGTTTGTGAAAGAATGGTGTGTGAGTGTGTTCGGAGGTGTGTTGGTGTAAGGTGTGTGTGCGTGCGTGTGTGTGTGTGTGTGTGCGTGGTATCTCCAAATGTATAAACATGTACGAGTGAATAGAGTTGTTAGTTGGGATGTCAGGCAATGTTGCCGAACAAGGTTTCAGTTTCCTCATAACTTATAATACATAATTAACATAAATTACTGCTAGAGAATGTTAATAGTATATATAT